TCAGAAGGCAATAGGGAAGCAAGCATGTCATTTCTTTTATTTTTTGCTTTTTGGTGAGGCAGTTGGGGTTAAGTGACTTGCCCAGGGTCACATAGCTAGTTAATGTCAAGTGTCTAAGGCCACATTTGAACTCAGGTCCTCTTGACTCCAAGGCTGGAACTCTATCCACTGTGCCACCTAGCTGCCACCCTGATGTTTGCTTTTTTAACAAAGTTTTTGGAATTATGTTATTGAGGTTTTTTTATGAGGATATAATGAAACAATTTTCAGAAACTCAAAGATAAACAACTTGGAGGTTTTACCTGACGTTATGCAAATTGTTAAAGGGATAGGAACAGTCATTGAGGGGAGCTGGTGTTGGAAGGCAGGCAGACTGATGTTCTGTTAGTGGTGCTGGGAAGTGATCCAACCATTACCGATTTCCTTTTGGAGTTAAGTGAACAAAGTGACTAAACTATCCCTGGGCTTAGCTCTCCCACTGCTGAGCATCTTTCTCAAGGAAATGGAGAAAGAAAGAAACCAAAGTCCAGTCAGTATTTGTGCCAAAACACAGCAGGATTTTTGGATGTTTTTACTGACTTCCAAGCATGGTGCTCAGTGATGGGATACAGACAAGAAAGTGAGACAGTCCCTGCCCTCCAGGAGCTCCCATTCTAATGGTGGAAACAACACACAGGGAAGGTTTCAGTTGCAAGTCAGGAAAAGGTCCCCCTGGTCCTTGGGGTGCAGTGGCAAGGCAGATGATGAGGCCTCTTCTTTAATGTCATTTCCACTGCTAAAATGACATCGGTTTGTAAAGTTGACTCATTTGACACTCTTTCCCCAGCCTTTGGTGACAAGGACTTTGTTTAAAAAGCACTTGCAGGACTAGAGGCCAGCCTGCATCTCCCTTGGGGTTGCTTCCCAGGATGATGGCTGTGGGCATTGGGCTGGAATCATTGCTCTTCCCAAGGATCTTGGGCCAAATATCACTATCAGGATCTGATGGGGAATGGTGATCAAGGTCATGGTGATGGTAGTTTGAGTGACCTGCCACAGAGTGAGCATTTCACAAATGCAGTTATCATTGAGGTTCATATGGGACTTTTCATGTATGTCTTTCATCTCTTTGGACTTTGGACTTAGTGATGTGATCCTTGGTTATGTACACTTTGAGAGTTTCTCTCATGGAATTCCAAACTGTCTTCCAGAGTAGTTGGACCATTCTGGACGTCCTAGTATGTCCTCATAAGTGTGTCTCAGGAGCCCTTCCTGCAGTGATGCTATCATGATTGTCTTTACCAATTCACTGGATTTCTGAAGAAACCTCAGTTTTAATTTGAAAACCTTGTTGAAGAAAGTATTCCAGGCTTATGATTATCTCACTGTGTTATAATCTGTGTCATTCAGAAGCCTTTTGACCTCTCTGGTATCTTTTTGCATCATATTTTTCTGGATATTTGTCACCTTTTTCCCCTTTGCCCATCATGACATTTAAGTCATTGAAGTATTAAAATCTACCAGTAATGTTCCAGATACTATGGGAAGCCTAGGGGATATGGAAACGAAATGTGAAATACTACTTTGTCCTCAAGGAGCCTGCATTATATTGGGAAGAATAATATGTAAGGAAACAATTTTGAAAGGGACAGAGTATGGCCTAAATGATTAGAGAGAGATTCGGTGCTCATGGTTTGAATATTTCAACCCAATAAAAATGATACCACTACAGTATTAATTTCCATGTGGTGCCAGTCTCATTACACAGGCAATTTTTTAATGAAATATACAGAGCATTATTCTGTATTATTCATATGAAAATTATTATTATACATTATTATATACATTATTCATATGAAAATCTTCAAGGTGAATATCACTGACATTAATCCATAAAGGTGGGGATGAAAAAGTATTCCAGCATGAAGATGATCTGAAAATTATACTCCAAAGCAGTTGTTATTAAAACTATCTGGTACTCGTTTAGAAAAGGAAAAAAGGAGATTAAAGGCATGCACTTCCTAAGGAAGACTTAGAAGGAAATGCGTGTGGCAGCCCAGTGTTGGATCTATGCTAGAACATGAACTACTGGGGGAATCTTCCATTTTTTGAAACAAATTGTTTAAAAAGACACAGGCATGCGAGTGCACGTGCCCACACACATGAGAGTGCAGAGAGGTAAAAAATAAGATTATAGAGTCATTTGTCTACATGCATGTAGTCCTCCTGAAAAATACCTGGAAATTGAATTTAAAAATGGAAAACTAAATAGATTACATTAGATTAGAAAGGCTCAGAAGTAATTGGATATGGCTCCTAGTGCTGGATCCACCCAGGAGCAGAAACTCTTGGTGAGGGATTCTTTATTGGACCAGAACTGCTGACAGAACTTGATTGCACTTTGTTGGAACCCAAAGTTTGACAATGATTTTTCTTCATTTATTCATGAGGATTATGAATATAGGGATTATTTATTCATAAGGATATGTGTATAACAAGAGCAGGGCGTATTTACATCTTTCATTTTTTTCAGATTGGGAGACTCAGCAGGAATCAAAGGAACCCACTCCAAAGTTGGGCATTTCAGTGGAACAATCATCCCAAGAGATACGTGAGAGGGATAGTCTGCTCTTTTACCCACAGGGAGAATGCAGGAAATATGATGCCGTTCTACAGAGTCATCTGACCAATGAAGAAAAGCCTTTCTGGCAAGTCAGAGTCACCCAAAAGAAACATCCCAATAAATCTAGAGTCCATGAACACATGAGTCATGACAGGACCTTCAATCCACAGCCAACCTTTTTCCCACAACAGCTAGTAAGAAAGAGTCTGAGTACACGTGACACACATGGAAAGTACTTTAGGCTGCATCGAGATAGACCACAATGTAGTATTAGATGCTCAAAGAAAACAGCTCGATATAAGGAATATGGGAAATGCTGTAAACACAGCTCAGCTTTTGTTGACAGTTCTGGAAGAGGTGCTGTAGCAGAAATTTGTGACTCTAATGTATTAGAGATGACCTCCTCAAGGAAACAGTGTATTCTTCCAGAGAAAATTCATAGTGGAGAGAAACCTTACGAAAGTAACGAAGGTGGAAGTACCTTTTGCCTAAGGACTGATATTCCCAAATATCAGGACATTCATAATAGTGAGAAACCTTATCAGTGTAATGTATGTGGGAAGAACTTTAGACTAAAAGCTCAATTAAATCAACATCAGACAATTCATAGTGGTGAGAAACCATATACATGTAATGAATGTGGAAAGGCATTTAGACTAAAAGGACAACTGAATGAACATCAGAAAATTCATAGTGGTGAGAAACCTTATAAATGTAATGAATGTGGGAAGGCCTTTTGCAGGCGTTCAAACCTCACCGAACATCATAGAATTCATACTGGTGAGAAACCTTTTAAATGTAATGAATGTGGGAAGGCTTTTCAACTAAAAGGACATCTTAATGAACATCAGAAAATTCATAGTGGTGAGAAACCTTATAAATGTACTGAATGTGGGAAGGCCTTTTGCCATCGCACATACCTTACTAAACATCAGAAAATTCATTCTGGTCAGAAACCTTATGAATGTAATGAATGCGGAAGGGCCTTCTGTATGAGCACGGCTCTAACAGTACATCAGAGAATCCATACCGGTGAGAAACCCTATGAATGTAGTATATGTGGGAAGGCCTTTAGAGTTAAAGCACAGCTTAATCAACATCAGTCCATTCATACTGGTGAGAAACCATTTGAATGCCATGAATGTGGAAAGGCCTTTAGACTAAAAGGATGGCTTACTGAACATCAGAAAATTCATAGTGGTGAGAAACCTTACGAGTGTAATGAATGTGGCAAAGCCTTCTGCAAGCGCTCAAACCTTACTGAACATCAGAGAATTCACTCTGGAGACAAACCTTATGAATGCATTGAATGTCAGAAGGCCTTTAGCCAGAAGCTAAAACTTTTTCAGCATCAGAGAATTCATACTGGTGAGAAACCTTATGAATGTAATGAATGTGGTAGGGCCTTCTGCCTAAGCACAACTCTCACAGAACACCGGAGAATTCATACTGGTGAGAAACCTCATGAATGTGTTGAATGTGGGAAGGCCTTCCGACTAAAAGCACAGCTTAATCAACATCGCAGAATTCATACTGGAGAAAAGCCTTATAAATGTAATCGTTGTGGGAAGGCTTTCTGTAAGCAATCAAACCTTACTGACCATCAGAAAATTCATACGGGAGAGAAACCTCATGAATGTGTTGAATGTGGGAAGGCCTTTAGCCAGAAAATAAAACTTACTCAACATCAGACAATTCATACTGGTGAGAAACCCTATGAATGTAATGAATGTGGAAAATCTTTCCGTCTGAGCACAGGACTTACTGAACACCAGAGAATTCATACTGGTGAGAAACATTATGAATGTAATCAATGTGGGAAGACCTTCCGACTAAAAGCACAACTTAATCAACATTGGAGAATTCATACTGGAGAGAAACCTTATGAATGTGATGAATGTGGAAAGGCCTTTGGACATAGGTCAGGACTTACTCAACATCAGAAAATTCACACTGGTGAGAAACCTTATGAATGTAATGAATGTGGGAAGGCCTTTAGATGGATCACAGGACTTACTCAACATCAGAGAATTCATACTGGAGAGAAACCTTACGAATGTAATGAATGTGGGAAGGCCTTCTACTGGAATACAGCTCTAACTAAACATCAGAAAATGCATTCTACTGAGAAACTATATGTATATGCTGATTGAGAAAAAGCTTTACTTCAGAGCAAGATCCTCTTCCAAATCAGCCCTCTCTCCATAGGTGTCCCTCAGGCTTCTGTAATGAGCCCTCTTCTCTTCTCCCTCTATACTACTTCACTTGGTGATCTCATCAGCTCCCATGCATTTGT